GATTTTTCGTTATGAAGGTGGGCTCGTTACCTATGATACACACCTGGAGATTTAATGAAAGGATGAACTCAAAAATAATCTCCCCCTTTTGTTTGTCAGTGCTGATCCTTAGAGGTCCTCTTGGACGTTGTGTTGTAGGAAAAGATTAACATGTTTCCTAGCGATAGTTTTACCTGCGTAGTCAGCCATGCAAAGTACAGCAGACTTATTTTGTACGACATTTTTAGGGTCACCCCAAAAAATATTTTTTTTCGGTATCCTTAATAAAGAAAATGTTCAATAAAAAATAGTTTTACGGTCCACAATGGCTTTTAAGTCCTAGGCATATTTTATATTCGTCTAGATATAGTAGACTTGATTTTAAACTTTGATATTTTGTTTGTAATAACCTTAACAATTATATTTAATTATGCTAAAAAAAACCCACGATCTTTTTAATTATAAAATACTGTCGCTATATCAATGTTAATTCCACAAAATTCAATTAGGTATTTAAAGAGTAGACAAATGTGCCATGTCAGTCATTTTTAATGAAAGTTTAAGGCACCGTCCAACTAAAAAAATGTCTTTATTTTCACATAAATTTTCGGACGACAAAAATAAAACACACAAATTGGTTGGGCGCAACTCAAAATATAGATAAAAAACGGAGATACAAAAAAATGCTTCCTAAAAAATCCTTAAAAAAATTGTCCTAAAAATTATTTTGTCTTTTTGTTTAATAGGCGGTAACTCTACCAGGAACTACCATCACTTGGAGCATTTAATAAAATTATTTTGTTAACTGGTGTTATATAAGATTTTCTATGACACCTATAAGATATAGTTGTACTGGTAGAGTAAAAGGGTATATCAGATTCATCGGAAAGGATGTAAATAGATGTAAAGTTATTCCCTGAAAACCGGCCACCCAAAACGAAATTGGAGTGATATATTTTTCGTATTATTTATGTACAAGTGCACTTGAAAGCAAACCAATAAGAATGGTTTTAGGGCAGTCGCATTTACGGTCGCCATATAGATATTTAAATTGATACATTTTGCAAAAAGGTCACAAAAAAGAAATATTTTTATACCCGTTACTCGTAGAGTAAAAGGGTATTCTAGATTCGTCGGAAAGTATGTAACAGGCAGAAGGAAGCGTTTCCGACCCCATAAAGTATATATATTCTTGATCAGGATCACTAGCCAAGTCGATCTAGCCATGTCCGTCTGTCCGTCTGTCTGTCCGGATGAACGCTGAGATCTCGGAAACTATGGGAACTAGGCTATTGAGATTTGGTGTGCAGATTCCTGAGCTTCTTACGCAGCGCAAGTTTGTTTCAGTAGAGACTCTAACGCCCACAAACCTCCCAAAACTGTGGCTCCTACATTTTTGATGCTAGAACAAAAATTTTAACTGAAATGTAATGTTCAAATCAATACCTATCGATTGACCCAAAAAAAAAATTTGCCACGCCCACTCGAACGCCCATAACGCTTAAATCTGTATACCGCCGGTAGGTGGCGCATTTTAATCTCGCTTTGCTACTTGCATATCTCTATTTAGCTGAGTAACGGGTATCTGATAGTCAAGGTACTCGACTATAGCGTTCTTCCTTGTTTAATCTCAAAATGTTTATTTCAACGAATGAAGGGAGTTGAAAAGAATCTTGCTCGTTTTTTAATGGCCATACGAACATTTTTTGTGAAAACCCATATTGATTTCAGTCAGAAGTTTGCAACGCAGTGAAGGAGACGTTTCCGATCTAGCCATGTCCGTCTGTCCGTCCGTTTCTACGCAAACTAGTCTCTCAGTTTTAAAGCAATCGGGCTGAAACTTTCCGAAAAGTCTTATATCTTTTGCAGGTAGTATATAAGTCGGAACCAGCCGGATCGGACAACTATATCTTAAAGCTCCCATAGGAATAATCGGAAAAAAAAATTAAAAAAAATTATATCTTTGGTGTTTTTTAACATATAACCTCCTAAGCTTGGAAATAACATTTTTTAATTAGTTTTGAATTTCGTATTAAATTTTATCAAAATCGGACGACTAAATCATATAGCTGCCATAGGAACGATCGAAAAAATTTGTGGTAAAATAATATGAAACAAATAATAGCTTCGGTGTTTTCTGACATATATACTATTGGGAATTCCATTTTTTGTTTTTTTTTTAAATTTAATAAATATAACTGAAAGGGTACACAAGGTTCGGCTTGCCGAAGTAAACTTCCTTTCTTGTTATTGTTCAACTTAGTAACGTGCGAAAGTTACTAAGTTGAACAATAACAAGAAAGGAAGTTTACTTCGGCAAGCCGAACCTTGTGTACCCTTTCAGTTATATTTATTAAATTTAAAAATATATATATATATATATAAATATATCGCGACTTATGGAAAAAAAATCAATTTTTAAAACCGGGACTAAATTTTGATTTATTTTATGTATACAAGGCAGGATATAAAATGACGAAACAAATAAGGTTGTACTCATATCTTCGGAATGTTTTTTTGAAGTTATAGCCGCTAGCTTGGTTTCTTCTTAGTTTATTTGAAAAAAATCTATAAAATCATAATTTGTTAAAATTTTGTTTAAGTTTAAGTAAGGGAAATATAAGTTTTAAGTCGCGAGAGCGCTTTAATCGAGTGTTTCGACTGCCAGATACCCGCTACTCAACTTTTAATTTGAAAATGGATGTAGAGACTCGGAAAATTCGCAAAAATGGCATTGTGCACATGGGCAACAGTGTCGCCATATGGGAGTAAGTCGTTGACTAAAGGCATTGTAAAAATACTTACAGCGCTGTTAAGTTTTTAGCTGCTAATTTTACGTGTACGGAATTTCGGTCCTTTAACTACCTTCTAGTGCTTTTGAAACAGTGAAAACATGTGAGTGCACTGCAGGTCAGTGTGGAGAGAGAAAATGCAAGAAGCGAAAATACCACTCCCACGCCCGGACCATTGTTTTTCAGTCAATTAAATTATACATTAACCTAATCGGAAATGGGTAAATAAAATTGGAATTAACTTTATTGAGGAAAGAAAAAATGATGAAAATATGTATTCATTACTTACTGAAATATGTAAGCCGCGCACTCTTCTCTTTCTTAGCGCTGCTAGCTCCTTTCGCTCTTATTTTGGTGCACCTGCTTACATATGTTTCTGGGAGCGCCAAAAAAGTAGTATGTAGTACGTAAAATGGACAAAAAACGCATATTTTAATGTACGAGCATGGTCGCTCGCAGCTTCGCCTGTGGAAATCAAGATTAAAATAGCGCGAATAGATCGGCTATTTCCTGTACCTGGTCTTGTCTTTATTTTTGCTACTTAAATTAGTTGTATCGTTTTTTGGGGGTTTTCCAAGAGGAAAACTGCACAGTTAATATATTTTATATAACTCTGTTCTTTTATTTACAAAGGTTAACAATTTCTGTAAGACTTACCTATGAACGATTCGTTTTGGATTTTCCCTCTGGTGCATTAGGGAGTATGTTATCCTCCTAGGTTAGATTTATTTTCTTTGTTTGCATTAAATGTCTTTTACATTTTATTCTTTTAACAAATTTATTAAAATATCGAATAAAAAACTATAGTGTCGTGAATGTGATATTTTCTAGACAGTAAATTAAGGTCATTCTATAAGGCGAATTTAAAAACAAAAAAGAATACCTTTTACTTAAAAGCTTCCTCTTACCACCCAACTTCACCCCTCTTTCTATCTGACATGATGCAGTAAATTGCGACTCAATAAAAAACAAGGAAGAACGCTATAGTCGAGTACCTCGACTATCAGATACCCGTTACTCAGCTATATGGAGATATGCAAGCAGCAAAGCGAGATTAAAATGCGCCACCTACCGGAGGTATACCGATTTAAGCGTTATGGGCGTTAGAGTGGGCGTGGCAAATTTTTTTTGGATCAATCGATAGGTATCAACGAGACCAATACATTTCAGTTAAAATTTTTTATCTAGCATGAAAATTGTGGGCGTCACAGGATTTCGCGGTTTGTGGGCGTTAAAGTGGGCGTGGCAAACTTTTTTTTGGGTCAATCGATAGGTATTGGTGAGAACAATACATTTCAGTTAAAATTTTTATTCTAGCGTCAAAACTGTAGGAGCCACAGTTTTGGGCGGTTTGTGGGCGTTAGAGTGGGCGTGGCACTGTGCTGAAACAAACTTGCGCTGCGTAAGAAGCTCAGGAATCTGCACGCCAAATCTCAATAGCCTAGCTCCCATAGTTTCCGAGATCTCAGCGTTCATCCGGACGGACAGACAGACGGACAGACGGACAGACGGACAGACGGACATGGCTAGATCGACTCGGCTAGTGATCCTGATCAAGAATATATATACTTTGTGGGGTCGGAAACGCTTCCTTCTGCCTGTTACATACTTTCCGACGAATCTAGTATACCCTTTTACTCTACGAGTAACGGGTATAAAAACCTTTGAAAGGTGATCAATACTTGAAAATAAGCTTTAGCTTTTTAAAGGATGCAATTAATATAGGCCTTCTTCTTCATCTTAAATTAAGTTGAAAGAAACAAAACAATTTTGAGGAGAACTTTGACTCAAAACCGTTACCGAAATTTACACTGACATGCAGTAATAAATATACTGTACGGCTGTGAGCACGTCAGAGCGAGACAGAATGATATGGAAACCTTACCCTGAGTTTTACTTGGTTGTATGAGACGGGTGTGAGGGAATCTATTTGTTCAAACATTTATATTTGTTTTAAAAAGAGGAATGTAATTTCAATATGAAAATAACAAAATTAGTTTGTAGATTGAAATTAGTTTTTCCCTTTGAACTAAAATTTGTTAAATCAGCTAAAGAAATATAAATGTATAAAGTATATATAGAAAAAAGAATTTGATTTTAAACGAATCTCGTTTCCCCCGTCTGCTAGAAATGCATAAATACACACAAAGGCACTTGTTTGCTCAGGAAGCAGGAGTAAATATGCAACTTCGCGAATCCACTGGTTTTATTTAAAACATTGCTTAGCCGTCATCTATGTAAATTGTGCGTTTATTTCAAGAGCTTTTTCTATTCAACAATGTTACCAACTCGCTTGTTTCAGATCTTCCCTATTACATTGGTATCTAGAGTTAGTATTTTATGGTAATCTAGTAGTTTTTTAATCTGGTATTTTGTTGTATGATCGTTGCTTGCCGACTTGTAGGGGGTAATTTATTAGCGATTATCAGCTGTGCTACGCCCCTGCTCGCAGCTTTCGACAGTCGACATCGCAACGACCATAGAAAACAAAACAAACAGTGAGATGACCAAACATCGCCCGCGTTGAAGCGCTGTAGGCCTTCAATTAATGGGAAGAGGTGCCAGATGATGTACTGAGCGTTTGTATACGCCTTGCTTGGTTTTTACTAGAGCAACGCGCACCTTGCCATCCGATCCGTGCGTTACTTCGGTGACTCTGCCGAGCAGCCACTGCTGGGGCGGTAAATTGTCCTCTTTGATGACGACGATGGTTCCTGGTAGAAGGTTGGCCGATTCCTTTGTCCACTTAACTCTTTGCTGCAGCCCAGCTATGTAGTCACGGGACCAGTCTCGCCAAAACCGTCGCTTGATGGCTGATATAAGCTGCCAGCGTTGTAGATGAGTTAGGTCGTCGTCCGGATGAGGAGGTGCCGATCCTGGGGGTAGAGCAGCGAGCGTGGTGCCTACCAGAAAGTGGGCTGGAGTAATAGCCTCTCCGTCGTTAGGGTTGCTGCTGTCAGCTACTAGCGGACGCGAGTTAAGCACTGCTTCCACTTCAACCAGGATCGTCTGGACTTCGTCCTCCTTCAGCAAGGCGTTTCCGACGGCCCTCAAAAAGAGGTGTTTGGCGGACTTGACGGCGGCCTCCCATAGGCCCCCGAAATAAGGCGACCGGGGCGGAATGAAGACGAACTCAACCTGGTGATGGACGCCGTACGTTCCCAGTGTACTGCGGACATCGGAGGCCATCTCCTGAAGCAGCCGTGAGGAACCAACAAAATTGGTTGCATTGTCGCAGTACAGTCGATCGAGCGGGCCGCGCCGCCCAACAAATCTGCTGAGACAGAGGATAAATGAGTTAGAAGTGAGATCCTTCAATAGTTCTAGGTGAACCGCTTTCGTTGAAAAACATATGAATACTGCGACATACATTTTTAACGCTGCCTTGCCCCGCACTCCTAGCGACACTCGGATTGGACCGAAGAGATCGACTCCGCTTATTCTAAAGGGTCGACTGATTCTGACACGGTCAAGAGGCAGGTTTCCCATTATTTGCGACATTAACCGTGGCTTATACCGGAAACAGTGCGTGCATCGGCGCACAACAGCACTGCACTCGCGTCGTGCATTGATCAACCAAATTGTCTGCCGAAGCAGGCCGACTAGGGCTCGTGGTCCTGCATGGCAATTAGCATAGTGCAGGTGCTCGATGTACAATTTGACAAAACGATTCCCTTTAGGCATTAATATTGGGAATTTGGCACTGGGTTTTAGATCCGCGTGCGCTAGTCGACCGCCCACCCGCACCAATGTTAAAGTACGGGTTCCGAAAGTTTCGTTGCTGATAAATGGGCTAAGTTTTTGGTAAGAACTGGGTAATGGCAAATTTTTCTTTAATTTATTGAATTCGTCTGCAAACGATTCACGCTGAACAGCCTGCGCGATATAAGAGAACGAAAAACTAAGCTCGGTGGCTGATAGGACGTGGTCGTTCCACAATTTCCAGGCCCTGCCGTAAACAAAACGAAAGATAAATGTTGGAATTCTCACAACCTTCACATAGGAAGAAGAATTTTCAACTAATTGTAGCAGCGGATGATTTGAGACGACAGCAACCGTATGGGCGATTACTGGCGGTTTCATTTCGAGTTGGCTTTCGAGGGGCGTGTCAGCCAAGTGCTGATTAACTGGCCAATGAGTCGAGTCCATGGACAAAAACGAAGGGCCTTCAAACCATAGCGTCGTATCGAGATCTTTGACCGTAGTCCCTCGAGAGGGTAGGTCCGCTGGATTGAAGTTAGTCGGGACGTGTCGCCAGACTGCAGTTGGAGCCAGTTCGTGAATAGCCGAAACCCTATTTGCGACGAATGTTTTAAGTTTTGACAGATGAGTGCGCAACCAGAAGAGAACAACTTCAGAATCCGACCACATAGTAACCTGCTCGACGCGGTAAAGATTAAGCGTTTGCACATCACTCCATAACTTCGCTAAGAGGTGAGCCGCACAGAGTTCTAGTCGTGGAATACTAAGTCTATTGATCGGTGCTACCCTGGATTTGGCTGTTAGCAACCTAACTTTTATTCCCTCTGAGGTCACTGACCTTACGTACAGACAACAACCGTAAGCATCTGTTGACGCGTCCGCAAATCCGTGGATTTGATAAGTGCCGCCAAACTGAGTTCCGACATGCCGAGGGATGTTTAACGTTTCTAAATCTGTAAAGCAAGATGACACCGTCTTCCAATGATGCAGTACGTCGGCGGGTATTTCGTCGTCCCATCCAATTTGTAGCGACCAGAGCAAGGGTAACGATAGGGCAAATGAGTCCTAACGGATCGAACAGCCGTGCTGCAAATGAAAGCATGGATCGCTTTGTGGGTGGGTCTTCAAGCTGTAGATTCTGGGCGTTGAATTTGAACGTATCCTGTTTTGGACTCCAAGTGAGACCCAAAGTTTTCGTATCGGCGTCTTCTCCAATAAGGACTTCTGGCTCGGCGACCTGTCGTTCGTTGGGGGTACAATTCGACGCCCACTTAGCCAAGACGAACCCTGCGGAATCTAAAATCTCTGTGATTTCCCCTCGCAATTTCCTTAACTCACGAATGGAATCGGCCCCTGTTAACAAGTCATCGACGTAAAAATCATTGGCTAGAGCCTGTGAAGCTAAGGGAAGAGATTCGGAGTAGATCTCGCTAAGCTGCTTCAAACACCGTATTGCAAGGAAAGGAGCACTTGCCGTACCATACGTAACAATGTTAAGCCGATAAATTTGTAGAGGGTCTTGCGGGTTCTCACGCCATACAATTAACTGAAACTTTCTATGGGTCTCATCTAATACCACTTGTCTGTACATTTTAGTAATGTCTGCCGACATAGCAAATTTATGGAATCGGAATTTAAGCAGCGTGGCATACAGGCAAGGCTGAATTGTTGGCCCTACCAAGAGAATTTCATTCAATGAAATTTGGGAAGTGGTTTTGCATGACGCGTCGAATACGACTCTTAATTTAGTTGAAGAGCTTTCAGGTCTGAGAACGCACTGATGCGGTATAAAATAATGAGGCTCGTTGGGTATCCTATTATCTGTAGCCTCCATGTGACCGAGAGCTAAGTATTCCTTCATAAACTGGATATACAACGAATGATTTGTTGGGTTCCCTTTCATACGCCGTTCTAAGGACAAAAACCGACGTCGTGCAGTTTCATACGAGGAACCGAGATACGAAGGACTCGATTTGAAAGGCAGGCTAACTACAAATTTTCCTGTAGAGTCACGCGAGACGGTGCTAGCAAACGATTTTTCACTCAACACTTGATCAGGGGTATAGAGCTGCGATTTTGTTAAATCGGGTATTCTTTCAATTTCCCAGAACTTCCTTAGCGTGTGATCCAAATTGTTGTCCTCAGTAGCTACTAGAGTGGAGTATGAGATACATCGTGCGGGCGGATTTTCTTTGTAGGGCCCTGACGCTACCCAGCCAAAGACAGTATTTTGTAGAGTTGGACCTGAGTGCTTGTACCGTATTTGTCCTTCCCTAAGCAGGTCGAAAAACAACTCAGCGCCGATCAGCATGTCGACGCGTTTGGGCTTGTAAAAGTAAGGGTCTGCTAAGGAGATATCATTACGAATCCAATCGGAAGATATTGCGGTTGCTTCTGGACGATACCCTGAGATTGACGGTAAAATTATGCATTCAACTGCCGCTTCGAAGGAGTTTAATCGCGACCCAATTGTCGTCTGGACTGCGAAGCTAGCTGAACACGCGGAATTCCCAATGCCTGAGAATTTAGCCTCATGCCGGTATCGTTTTAATTGCAGATTATTTACTAATTCCTCCGTTATAAAATTAACCTGTGACCCTGAGTCTAGCAAAATCCTAGCGCACAGCTTGGCTCCTGACTGACTTTGAACCTCGACAAGGGCCGTTGCAAGTAAGACGTGATCTACCTTTTGCGGCATAGGCTGACTAATCGAGGCACTTAGTGACTGTTGGGCTACCTGATTGTCAATAGGCGATGACAATTGATTGCTCGACGGTACTTGGGAGGTTGAGGTAAACCGATGCAGAAGTGTGTGATGAGCCTTCGTACAAATTCGACAACGAGATGACTGGCATGTTGCGACACTATGTCCTCTGCGTAGACAATTGATGCAAAGTGGTGCATTCTTTGCGAACTTGAACAGAGCTTCTACCGAGATATTAGCGTAAGATGTACAACTCTGAATGAAATGGCTGTCTGACTTGCAGAAGCAACATTTAGACTTAAGTTCTTCGACAGGTCGGGAAACTGCTAATGCCGCTTTGCTATATCTGGGCTTGTTCCCTAGCTGTCCCTGTTTGGGAGCTTTTCTGCCTGTCGTGGATTCCTCAGCCGCTAAGTGTTGGTATCGTTTATTATGCGCCTCTGAGCAATCTTTCCATAACGGAATAGAATCGTAACTAAGGTGCTCTTCCCATCGCGACCGCGTTTTGGGATCTACTCTAGACATGACGATGTGAATTATCATTGCGTTGGCGAAAGTTTTCTCGTTGCCGAGCGAGAGAAGAGATTCATATATAGCAGTTACAGTGTCGATAAGGGATCGCAACGCCGAGGCGGATGGCGCTTGCATTGTTGGGATTTCAAACAATCGAGAAATACTTTTAAAGTATATTAGGCACGGATTATCATAAACCCTGACCAAGGCCGCATGGGCCTTTGCGTAATTTGCTTCTGTGATCTGGTAAGCCTTTACTGTTCCTAAGGCTTCCTTCTCTAAACAGGATAACAGATGATTAAACTTTTCAACATTTGATAGAGATTCGTCATCGTGAACTAAGCTGTTAAATAAACCTATAAAATTTTTGAACTCGGCATAGTTGCCGTCGAATTTTGGGAGTTTCATTTGTGGTAGTAATCTGCTGTGACTTGCTGAAGAGTTTAAACTACTGTTATTTGCGAAGGTAGAATGATTTCTTTCTCCTTCGGTCCGGTTACAATTTGACATTAATAATGCCTTTGCGGATACACATAATTCTTCTAACTCCTCTCTACATGCTAATTCGTTATTAATTGCTTCTAATTGTTGTTGCAACTCGAACGCCTTTTCGATGTATCCATTTAAAATACCTAAACGACATTCCATTTCGCACGCATTAGGGGGAGTTACTTGACCACGAACTGTGGCCTCAATTCTAATTATATGATTCTTATTCCGCTCAAGCTGTTCCAGCAATTCGTTTGTGTCGTCCTCCGCTGAGGGAGTTCTGCCAAAACGTTTCCGACTTCCACCCATTGTGACTAGCAACTTCCCGTTTTTAGATTGTTTCTAACAAGCAAATGCCAATGCAATGCTGCTGGTAGCGATCGAATGTCTGCACTGTCCCACCGTACTAAATCCTCAGCCAGGCTATGCGCGATTGGAGCAAGGAAGGCGAAAAGACCGACACAACCAAAGAGCGCGCGAAGATTGGGGCCAGGCAGATTAAGCAAGACCGAATGTGTGTGTGTGTATATGTTGGGTGGGCCTTTGTGTGTGTATGTGACTGAAAGCCAAGTGAATTATGATATGTGTTTGTGCAAGTGTTGGAAATAAAGTTTGCATATATTTACGTAGGCCACTTTACCATATACAATACGGATCGCTGTACTTCTCGGTGTTTCCGACAAGGTTAGGTTGAAGCCCGCTGATGCTCTCCTGTGACGAAATGGAGGTTAGGGACGCAGCCGATGTGCGCTCCCTCTACGATGATGTATGGGGCTCACCCCTCTCCGGGTGCTCCAGCGACGAAAGACGACGTTCTATTGCACCTCTCTATGGGTGCCGACGAGAATGTGGCGAGGAGATGGACGCAGCCGATGTGCGCTCCCTCTACGCCGAGATGTACGTGGGTACTGCGCTCCGGCTGTGCGGGCGCTCCAACAACGAAAGATGAAATTAAAGTTGCACGGGCGCGTAAATGCGTCTCCAACTTGGACCATGCACCCAATGTGCGATGCCGATGCATTTGTTGCGTAACGCGAATTGGCCGCGTGCACTTGTTATATAACTCTTGGTGATTTGCCAACTTATAACAATACGCAAATCCGAAGTTTAGAAGACGGCCAAGAACCAGTGAGTCCACCCGGGGGCGCCAATGTTTGCTCAGGAAGCAGGAGTAAATATGCAACTTCGCGAATCCACTGGTTTTATTTAAAACATTGCCTAGCCGTCATCTATGTAAATTGTGCGTTTATTTCAAGAGCTTTTTCTATTCAACAATGTTACCAACTCGCTTGTTTCAGATCTTCCCTATTACATTGGTATCTAGAGTTAGTATTTTATGGTAATCTAGTAGTTTTTTAATCTGGTATTTTGTTGTATGATCGTTGCTTGCCGACTTGTAGGGGGTAATTTATTAGCGATTATCAGCTGTGCTACGCCCCTGCTCGCAGCTTTCGACAGTCGGCATCGCAACGACCATAGAAAACAAAACAAACAGTGAGATGACCAAACAGCACTGATATCGTGCTTTCAGGATTTTATTAATATAGATCCTCTTCATATTCTTAAATTAAGAAAGAAAAAAAGAAAGAAAAATTTCTGAAAGAAAACCAATCAATTTAAGGAGAACTTTTACATAAAACCGCTACCGAAATTCCCTCTCTTCGGCCTTTCGAAACATTCTAAAGCTTTGCCACAGGAGTGAGCGAGAGGCAAATACGAGGCTAACGCTTTTCGTCGGGTCTGTTTTTCAGCGCGGTACTGAGATGAGCTAAGGAAAGACCAGAATAAATGCTAGATTATGCGAGTGAATTTCGATGAACGCCGTTAGCCGCGGCCCAAAAAATAAGAAATTTAATCTTTGACGGCGGTGTAAAATCTAAAAAAAACGCCAGCAGGATGTCAGTGCAGATGAAAAAAGATGCCTAATTTAAGCTGTTGCCCATTATTGTGGGACTTCGCCAACAGAAAGCTATTCCACAACAGGGCGAATCCGCAGAATAGATGAAGTGCTGGAGGAGGAGGTCCACTTTAGAATCGCACTGCAAAGGAACATGCCCAGTGGGACTTCGCCCTTACATGGACATCCTGCCGGACGGGTCCACGCATTTGTTGAACATTCCACTTATTATACCCGTTACTTGTAGAGTAAAAGGGTATACTAGATTCGTCTGAAAGTATGTAACAGGCAGAAGGAAGCGTTTCCGACACCATAAAGAATATATATTCTTGATCAAGATCACTAGCCGAGTCGATCTAGCCATGTCTTATACACAGAAAAAATTCACAAAATATCGAGGATGTAAGGATTAAGTTTTGTCACTTTTCTAAAAATTATTGTTTTTAAAATGTTTAAAAGCCGGAATTTGCTAACATCTATTGAGCATATCACTGTGAAAGCTCGATGTTAAAATTCAAGCGGAGCTCTTAGCGTAAAGCAACAATTTTTTTACTTTTTAAAGTTGTAGGATAGTATGACAACTGATTAATACACACTAAAACTCTATGCAGATGTGAAAATTATTCATTTTTTCTTCAAGAAGGGTTAAAAATATACAGAAATGAAATACAAATTGAATTGACTTAAAAAAATTATCCTTCAGTTCTTATATATTTATCTGAATTGTTCTTCCACAAATCTTTGCTCTAGTATTGGTGAAACACATATAAATTGAATAGCTTTTTTTTTTTACTTTTTCCTCCACTTTTTTCGTCAAAATTATCTAACGAACAAATTACGCGATTATAATATAATCGAAAACTCATTGTAGGCACGATAAGAGAAAGTGACAACAATTATTTAAAATCTTTGACGTGACGTCACAGATGTGAGTTGACAAGTTAGTATTTTTCTTATTTTAAATTATATTCAAAAAAAAAATACAGCACTTGGTATTTAAAACAGTATATTTGTAATTTATATAAAATCATATCAAACTATCTCACAAAATATCAAGTGTCGCGCTATCGTCATATCGACTTCAGCTCGAAAGGGAGAAATATTCAATTTCAGATCTTGTAAGCGGCCGCAATTCTGCATCCGTAAGGCAGATGACGGCTAAAGCGTTTAATTAAATATCGATGGGAAGCAGTTTCGACTCCCAGCGCGATTCTTTTCCTTTTTTTTTGTTGATGTATGTTTTTGTTCTTATATTTTATTATAGTTTTTAATAAAAAAATATTGTTATCACCATGTCCAACGGTAAAATTAAGTTATTAAGTTATACATATAAAAACAAGGAAGAACGCTATAGTCGAGTACCTCGACTATCAGATACCCGTTACTCAGCTAAATAGAGATATGCAAGTAGCAAAGCGAGATTAAAATGCGCCACCTACCGGCGGTATACAGATTTAAGCGTTATGGGCGTTAGAGTGGGCGTGGCAAATTTTTTTTTGGACCAATCGATAGGTTTTGTCGAGACCAATACATTTCAGCTAAAAATTCTTGACCAGGATCACTAGCCGAGTCGATCTAGCCATGTCCGTCTGACCGTCTGTCCGTATGAACGCTGAGATTTCGGAAACTATAGGAGCTACAATACTGCGATTAAGCATGCAGATTCCTGAGATTCCTGCGCAGCGCAAATTTGTTTCCTACAGTTTTGATGCTAGAATAAAAATTTTAACTAAAATGTATTGTTCTCATCAATACCTATCGATTGACCCAAAAAAAAGTTTGCCATGCCCACTTTAACGACCACAAACTTCAAAAAATCGTAAATATAAAAGCGGATATCTCGGAAACTATCAAAGTTTCTATCTTTGATGGGATCTCAGATTTAAACTCCGTAGCCTTGTACGCAGCGCCAGTTTTAACTGAAACTTATTAGTCTCCCCAGTACCTACCGATTGATTAAAAAAAGATTGCCACGCCCACTCTAACGCCCACAAACCGACCAAACCTGTGGCGCCCACAATTTTCATGCTAGATAAATATTTTTAGCTAAAATGTATTGGTCTCGTCAATACCTATCAACTGATTCAAAAATCTGTCTACCGCCCACATAACCATATATTGAGATCACGGGTAGGTGGCGCATTTGAATCTCGCTTTGCTGCATGCATATCTCCATTTCCCTTTGGTCCCATTAGCTGAGTAACGGGTATCTGATAGTCGAGGTACTCGACTATAGCGTTCTTCCTTGTTTTATTTTTAGTGTACACATGCAAAAATATAATTTTGACGAATATCATTTTTATATGAACAAAATTGAAAAAGACCATTTTGATGAACAAAAAGTTCATTTTTTTATGTTAAAAAGTTATACATTAAAAAATCGAAAAAAATATAATTGATATTCTCGAAAAATATCAAATTTATATGTTCAAAATATCAATGCGGCATTAATATTATCGGCTTTTTATTGATATGAAACAATGCAGAATTGACTGCCATTTCATATCAATATTTTTTTCTGTGTATACACACACACGCACTGATCTTGTTTTCAGTATTCTACCTTTCATTAAAATTTTACTTGGATGTATGAGACGGGTGTGTGCGAATCTATTTGTTTAAACATTTATATTTGTTTAACAATAGGAGTGTAATTTCAACTTGAGAATAACAAAGCTTGTTTATAACTTGCGATTAGTTTGGCTCCTTGAAGGAAATGTTAAATATTTGTAGCAAAATGATATCAGTAGGTAGTACCATCAGCTACAAAAGCATATATACACACATACGCACGGATATATTGTTAGTGGTATTTTTTTTAGTATGCGGGCACACTTAACGTCTTTGGTTATTTTCTTGCGCCAGCGAGGATTAGGGAAAAATTTTGAGAGACTTGGTAAAGAAGGATAAATTTTATAAAAAATTAGATTCAGTCCTTTGCGGGTATCCCTTAAGATTATGAGTAGCACATTTTAAAACCACTTTCGCAACATTTACAACAAAGATATGGCAAAAGAAAAAATTTAAAAAGAAATAGAATTTTGGGGCAACTTTGGGTCGACTATTCCAATTAATTTCGAATTTGTGTTTTTTTTTTAAATTTTTATGACAAGCCGTTTGAAAATAGCTATCATTTGGCTCGAGAAAGTCAAAATTGCTTAGCAGGGACTTTTTCTGTTCGAGAAATGTTATGCCGGCACTCGAGATACTGGCCCTAAAAAAACTAAGAAGAGGCATCTCTTTGCGATTGGAGAATGGTATATACCGGATCAACACGTACATCTAGATGAACGCCACAACGGCAACAAACCAGAAAATGGAAAAAACGGACAATTCTGCTGCCGCAGGAAATACAAAATAAATTAAGTCATTTTTAAATATTTAATTTTTTATTTTTAGTTTCATCTTAAAATTCGCTTCTGATGTTAAGTTTGCGGTTGTCTAGTTGACGACTTGGCATGCCTCAGGTTGCACTTGCAGGTTCACTTTGTTGTTAGCGGATGGATTAAGATACTCTTATTCTTTTGTTTTTGTTTATTGTTTTTAATTGTAAATCGCTTTGTGTATAACTTTTAGTTTTATTGCCGGCTCCTCTCAGGCCAATTGGTTGTGACAGCCACGATTTTCTCTAGCTATTATACATTTGAAGTCCTCGAAGGATAGTCAGGAACAACAAGGGTAAAGCGATCAGGCACAACACGTTGTAGACCTTTTCTATTTCTTCTTTGTGGTCTATCGCCGGTGTTACCGTCTGCTTTAGACACTTTGGATCCCATTCTTGAACCCTTTAACCGACACTTTAAACTTTCAAATCAAGGGTTCATTATTCTTCACGGTGAATGTTATGAATGGAAATTCTTCTCGAGTTGACCGACAGTTGGTATTCCCATTGAAAACCCTTAACAAAAGAGTTGTATGCATAGGCTAAAGTGCTGCAGTTCTTGCAAACTATTTTATATAGAATTTGTTGTTAAAGCTGTTTACTCTTTTAAATATTTCAAACGATAGCAACGCAATTGAGAAGTCTAACTATTAACGTATACGCAATTCTTTTACGACTCCAGAGGTGTTTTTGATGTTAATTATGTTTATTATTATACCCGTTACTCGTAGAGTAAAAGGGTATACTAGATTCGTCGGACAGACAGAAGGAAGCGTTTCCGACCTCATAAAGTATATATATTCTTGATCAGGATCACTAGCCGAGTCGATCTAGCCATGTCCGTCTGTCCGTCTGTCTGTCTGTCCGGAGATCTCGGAAACTATAAGAGCTAGGCTATTCAGATTTGGCGTGCAGATTCCTGAGCTACTTACGCAGCGCAAGTTTGTTTCAGCAGAGTGCCACGCCCACTCTAACGCCCACAAACCGCCCAAAACTGTGGCTCCTACATCCTATCGATTGATCCAAAAAAAAATTTGCCACGCCCACTCAAACGCCCATAACGCTTAAATCTGTCTACCGCCGGTTGGTGGCGCATTTTAATCTAGCTTTGCTGCTTGCATATCTCCATTTAGCTGAGTAACGGGTATCTGATAGTCGAACTATAGCGTTCTTCCTTCAGGACTGATTAATTACAGTACTTTGGATGCAAACTATATTGTCTAGTCTTATCGAAGGTAGAAAAA